AATGCGTCGTGACATGTCATATGTTTTCTTTCTTTGAATTTTTACGGCCCACCCTCGGCCACCCTCTTGAGCATTTTGGGCCAAGCCCTTTGCCTGGAGGAACTCCAGCACAGCATCCCAATTGCACCAAAAGAGCTATGCAGCAGTGCGAAGGGTCAAGGGCACCAGAGTTAACTCAGCTAGCCGTCAGGCATGCGACGTAACAGTTGTGGACTCGTGGTTAATCTGATATTAACCAACCGAAGCCTGGCTCAGTCAATGTGACTTGTGATATGTCAATAGTGCAACATGTCAACAATGCGTCATGACATGTCATATGTTTTCTTTCTTTGAATTTTTACGGCCCACCCTCGGCCACCCTCTTGAGCATTTTGGGCCAAGCCCTTTGCCTGGAGGAACTCCAGCACAGCATCCCAATTGCACAAAAAGAGCTTTGCAGTGCGAAGGGCCAAGGGCACAAGAGTTAACTCAGTTAGCCGTCAGCCATGCGGCGTAACAGTTGTGGACTCGTGGTTAATTTGATATTAACCAACCGAAGCCTGGCTCAGTCAATGTGACTTGTGATATGTCAATAGTGCAACATGTCAACAATGCGTCATGACATGTCATATGTTTTCTTTCTTTGAATTTTTACGGCCCACCCTCGGCCACCCTCTTGAGCATTTTGGGCCAAGCCCTTTGCCTGGAGGAACTCCAGCACAGCATCCCAATTGCACAAAAAGAGCTATGCAGCAGTGCGAAGGGTCAAGGGCACAAGAGTTAACTCAGCTAGCCGTCAGGCATGCGACGTAACAGTTGTGGACTCGTGGTTAATTTGATACTAACCAACCGAAGCCTGGCTCAGTCAATGTGACTTGTGATATGTCAATAGCGCAACATGTCAACAATGCGTCGTGACATGTCATTTTTTTCTTTCTTTGAATTTTTACGGCCCACCCTCGGCCACCCTCTTGAGCATTTTGGGCCAAGCCCTTTGCCTGGAGGAACTCCAGCGCAGCATCCCAATTGCACAAAAAGAGCTATGCAGCAGTGTGAAGGGTCAAGGGCACAAGAGTTAACTCAGCTAGCCGTCAGGCGTGCGACGTAACAGTTGTGGACTCGTGGTTAATTTGATATTAACCAACCGAAGCCTGGCTCAGTCAATGTGACTTGTGATATGTCAATAGCGCAACATGTCAACAATGCGTCATGACATGTCATATGTTTTCTTTCTTTGAATTTTTAAGGCCCACCCTCGGCCACCCTCTTGAGCATTTTGGGCCAAGCCCTTTGCCTGGAGGAACTCCAGCACAGCATCCCAATGCACAAATAGAGCTATGCAGCAGTGCGAAGGGTCAAGGGCACAAGAGTTAACTCAGCTAGCCGTGGCATGCGACGCAACAGACCGAAGCCTGGCTCAGTCAATGTGACTTGTGATATGTCAATAGTGCAACATGTCAACAATGCGTCATGACATGTCATATGTTTTCTTTCTTTGAATTTTTACGGCCCACCCTCGGCCACCCTCTTGAGCATTTTGGGCCAAGCCCTTTGCCTGGAGGAACTCCAGCGCAGCATCCCAATTGCACAAAAAGAGCTGTGCAGCAGTGCGAAGGGTCAAGGGCGCAAGAGTTAACTCAGCTAGCCGTCAGGCATGCGACGTAACAGTTGTGGACTCGCGGTTATTTCCATCTAGAAAACCTGGCTAGGTTACCGAAGAGATTGTTTCTGTGACAAAGTCTAACCTTCTCTGTTTCTGCACGTTGCCGCCTTGCCAGGTTCTGGGCCCCGTGCTGATGGCGAGCAGCTGTTTGTCGACTACAGGGTCTGCGGCCCTGGCCCTGGCTGCACAGGACAGATGGGGTGACTTAAGAGAGAAGCTGAGAGTACTGAAAGCAGATAGCACTGTGGCTCGCTAGAAAGTGTGTGTAGCGTGAACCCGAAGAAACAAACGTTCGGTGACGGTTCGCAATGTTTTTTCAGCAAAGCAAGTGCATTTTTTGCAGTAACCTGGCCACCGTGCTCGCCTCCTCATCTCCTCGACCTTTCTTTTCTCGACGTGGATTCTGACCTCTTGCAACTTCGCTTTTCATCTCTTGCTAGTTGGTGCATACCTGAAAGTAAAAGCAAAGAACCACGAGAAGATGTAGGGAAAAAGCCAAGGTTCAGCAACAAAGGCATAGGATGAGGTTACAGTCTCTCCGGACCGTCCCGGTCATGCAAGGTGTACCTATGGGCTTTGACTTTCAGAGAAATGTGGCCTTTCCCGGCAGGTATGCGCAGGGCTTGGAATTAAATTTTGAAGTGTCTTTGTTTGCACAATGTTTCAGAATGAAGCCGCACTGCGCATTCATGTTTTCAATAAATCTGCAAAGTAGGCCCCTTTACCCCCATAGAATCTTAGCGCCCATAATGCATGGCTGTGATGGAACGGGCGGAGGACTTGGAAACACAATGAAAAACTTTGTATTTTTAAAACGGGCAAGCCTCTCCTCCGCCTCCGCTATAAGGTGTTTTCAAAATTTTGTTCCTCCGCGGAGTGCGAATCCCTGTGAATTTACAGTCCAAGCCGTCCTCGCTCCTCCGCGGTTCGTCGTGATGGTGGCTTCTGCCGTGCAAGCTGCCAAACGAGCGCTTGTCACGCTGCTGTTGAGTTTTGCGAAGTTGTACGCCGTGAACTTGAACATCACCAGAGAAGCAGACAATGGGTTGGTGGAGGCAGCTTTTCGGAAAGTGGTGAAACGGACTCATCCGGACAAAGGTGGTAAAGTGGAGGACCAGCAGAGCTTGCAAGCTGCCAGGGCGAAGTGGCGGGATTTGCTGCAGGAAACCGCACGAAAGCAAGGAAGCCAGGGCAAGAAGCAGAAGAAGCAATTCGTCCTTCCTTTTCAAGCTTCAGGGAGCGGCGCTGCTGCGAAGCTTTTTCTCATACGTTCAACAGCAGTCCTGTTAACGTACCACAACATTCCGGAGTCTGCTTGGAAAGCTTTTTTGACGTTCTTGGCAAGCCACTTGAGCTGTTGGCAAGTTCTGCACTGGTGTGCGTCCATGGAGCGGTGCCAATCAGGCGCGCCCCACGTCCATGTTATGCTTCAATTTGTAGGTGCTTCTGACACTCGTCATGTGGGGCATTTTGAATTTGGCCCGAGCCGTCCCAACGCTTCCACCGCAGATCTGTGCGGAGAAGGGTTGTGCCGGAAGCAGCTCCAGCGATCGATTGACAGGGGCTTCTTCTATGTCTATGCCCACAAGATCGGGACGTTGTTCACCGAAGGAGATTATTTGCCTTGCTGGACAGAGTCGGTCAAAAAGTATCAAGTTCTTAGCAAATGGCCTGAAACCTTGTGGAAGCAGCGGAAAATCAGTTCTGATGTCTACGAGCGCTTGTTGTTCTTGACTCGGGATGGTGTTCTGTCACGAAGCCGCAATTTGCAGGCCTGCCGCGCCACGGAGAACCGACTTGCTTCTGAACAAGCTCTAGAAGAGCGGGTGAAGCGCATTCGCAACAATCCCGAGATTTATCGTCCATTTCCGTGTGTCTCCGCAGCAGAGGCTTGGTTGGAACTCTTCAAAAGCGATTCTCTTCGGTACCCCATCCTCATTGCGCAAGGTCCTTCCCGCAGTGGTAAAACTGAATGGGCGAAAAGTTTGTTTCGCTCACCCTTGGAATTGAAGATTGGTTCCCTGCAATTCTTTCCGGACGGGATGCGTCGGTTTGACCGCCAAGCTCATGATGGAATCGTTCTGGACGACGTCCGCGATCTGCAATTTGTAGTGGACCACCAGGACAAGCTGCAAGGCAAATATGATTCTCTCATTGAGTTTGGGTCGACTGCTGGTGGCACTTGCGCTTACCACTTGGACTTGTTTTGTGTTCCTGTAGCCGTGACCATCAATGAATCCACGAAGAACCTGGAGTTTCCAGGGCTCGCATGATTGGGTCGGCAACGCCGGAAATAGAGTGATTGTAGACTTTTCGAACAGGCTTGCTCCTTCTTAAATGAAGCAAGTCCTGACAGCAAATGCTTTGTGCTCTGAGTCAATGCCTTCGCGGAAACTTTCCCGGCAAAGAGAAAAGAAAGTCCCGCCCTTGGCTTCGCTCGCCCTTTGTGTCTTAGAGGGTCCTCCTGGTGGATGAACCGCCCACAACTTGCCAAGCTTGATCTTCATTTTTGGGTTCCAGCTTTGGGGTCTCAGTTTTGTAGGTTTCATGACACCGCGTCCACAGTCCTGTGCAGTATCAGCACCAACCAAGCCTGCAATCGGAGCAATCTGGACTGGCCTCAAATGCGAAAGGCTCACTTTGGTGCTGCATTATATGAGAAGGTTGAAAGGCTCAAATGAGAACTTGTGCTTCCAGGCGAACAAGGTCTCAGAGCATTACAATTGAAAGAGGTGGTGGGCACGGTTTCAAAGAAGCTTGATGAACATGAGAGGGCAAGTTTTTTGCCATTGGTTGGTGTGGTGATGGCAAAGGGAGACCCTTCAAAAAAGAGATTTCTGAGTAAACAGCCAAGGCCTTCCCAGAATGCTGTCTAGCCCTGAGCCATTGTCACCACCCAGCTCTTCCAAGAGCCCAACCCCTTGGCGCAAGGGGAACGAGGACCCCTTGGTGAAAGGGGAAGCTGCTTGGAAAGGCCAATACCAGCAGCAGACAGCACCTCAACAGCCACCTGCACAAAAACAGCAGCCTCAAAGGCATTGGTGTGGTTTTCCAAAAACCAGCCAAAAAGAAGGGAGACATGGCTGGAGCTTCAGGCGGTCAACCCCAGAAAACCACCATGGAGGTGTGCACTCCCGTAGGGATGGAAACTTTATTCCTTGCCTCTTAAAAAGTTTTGTTCTCAAAAACAAAACTAGCCTGTGGCATTTAACTCTTCTCCTTTTTCCTGTCGTGTTGATTTGGTGTTGCTCACAAATCAATGCTTTTAATCACCTCACTTTCTTTAAGAACATGGGAATCATATATGTTCCCTGCTGTTCGGCTTAAGTGGTGGGCGGGTGGGAAACCCTTCAGCTATGGTGACAACATATGGTGAAAACCTACGTTGAGCTGGGGGGTAATATGGAAACCTTAAGAGATACTGGTGGCGTTGGAGCAAACGATCACTCTACAGCCTTTGGAGCCGGAGCAATGACGGATCCTGGACTGGAAGAGGAAGCTGCTGTTATGGCAGAAGCTGTGCTAAGTCAAGTGGAGCTTGATGAAGTTTTAGGCAACTCAACAGCTCATTCTCAACCGCCTATGGATTTCTCTTTGGATTTTGGAAGATCTTTGGAAGACAACCAAAATGATGTGTTTTCAGTTGGAACGCCATCTTTTGCTGAACAACAACTTCAACCCTTGCAGTCGTCGTCGTCACATGATTTGCCTGTTGGAAGTTTCAACTTTGACAACTTGCTTGCAAATTCAGCAGTACATGTTGACACGACAGAGTTTTCACTGCCTTGGGAAAGCGATCAATGGAAGCCAATCTTCGATTCACAGTTTGATCCACTGCATGCATGGGGTCGCACTTTCAACAAACGAAAACTGCCACATGATTTCCATGACGGTGACGATGCAGATTTTGACAGTTGGCAACTTCTTACAGGTCCTTCTCGTTCTGACGCTAGGAAGATAGCAGTTATCAAACAGCAGGACATGTGTTGGACTGACAAGAGGGAGGCTGATTTGCAGCGGGCTATCAAGAAGTGGGTCACTATAGTGTCGAATTGGCCGATGGAATGGAGGTGCAGTCAAGAAGTCAGCAACTGCGCAACCTTGGAAGAAGCTTGTGAATTGGTCACCGACTATCTAGCTGGTAAAGCGCCTGCGACACTAGTCAAGAGAGCTAACAGCATGTTGTTCCTCATGTCTTCCGCTCGTGGCCTAGGTTTCTTCTTTCCACTTGGCGAACCTGATGGATATCAGTTGTTGAAGACTCTTCAGAGGACTTGCTCTAAGAACCAGCTCAAGTCAATTTTGGAAGCCATTACCTTTTGCAGGTTTTCCTTCGGAATTTCGGACTTTCAAGAATTGGTAGACAGCAAGCGTTGCCACGGGTTGACACGTCAAAGTCCAGGTGGTCGCGTGTTGCAAGCTGAACCTCTTAGTGTCATAGATGTTTGCACTTTGCATTCCATCTTGGAGAATGGACATGTATGGGACAAAGCATTTGCAGGTGCATGTTTGTTCTGTGTGTACAGCAGGGCACGCTGGTCTGACTTTTGCCATGGAGATGCTATTCGTTTAGACTTTGCAGATGACGGGAGCATAGCCTATGCTGACATGGAAGTATACATTCACAAAACCATGAACAGTGCTGCAAACAGATTCAAATTTCTCGATTTGGTGGCTTCTGGAATTGGTTTCACTGGACACAATTGGATCAACACTTGGATTTCTGCGTTGTCAACTTTGGGGATTGATCCTTTGGTTAAGAAACCAGGAAAGTGTTTGATGCCTGCGCCAGGTGAGGATGATCTTCCGTGTTCAAGGCCTTTGGACTGCAGCGAAGTTGGCACCTGGCTCAGGTTACTGTTGGGTGAACAAGCCAAACGTCATGACAGCGCTCGCATGTTGTCTTCGCATTCTTTGAAGGCTACATTGTTGAGTATGTCTGCAAAGAGGGGCATTAGTCATCAAGATAGATTGGCAATGGGACATCATGCACATCCTTTCCGCATGGCAGACGTGTATGCTAGGGAGGCACAGGCTAGAACAATTCGCTTGTTGGACAAGCTGATCCTGGAGGTGCGGTCAGGCTATTTTAAGCCTGATGAAACCAGAGTTGGCCGTTTCGATGCTACGTGTCAACCATGCCATGCCTCCATAGATGTTGGAGCAAAACGTTTCCATGATGATGAGATGGCAAGAGGAAACATTGAAGAAGACGTGAGATCAGTCTTGGAACAATGTGTGCCAGAACCTGGAACCCAGGACAGCGATTATGCTACATCGGCCACCTCTGACAGTGGCGAGGAGAGTGATGAAGTCATTCCTCCCAAACCTGTGTTTGCTGCCCCAGAAGTTCCTAGTGGATACCAATTTGTCCAACACAAGAAGTCGAAGACTTTGCATTTGGTTGATTTAAAATTTCCAAGATCCACTGAGTGTGGAAGAGCCGTGAATCAGAACTACACCGACAAACCGGTGGTGAGGTGGGATTCAGCGGTGTGTCACCTTTGCAAACGCAAACATAAAGTGTGAGCTTGGACAACGAGCCAGGGTGAAAACCAGGCTGCGATGTTGGAAGTGCCATCACACTTGCAAGATGTAGTTTGCTATCAAACTTGGATTGTTCTCATGTTGGATTGAAATTCATTTCACAACATTTTGATTTTGAAACTTTGAATTTTTCAACTTTTGTGTGAGAGCTTGCAGTTGATTCGATGAACCAACGCGTGGTTGATCCAGCAGTGTGGTTCTACGGTCGAGAGGGCGTTTGAGCCCGGCGAGGACACATACATACAACTGCACACACTCACATCACACATTTCAACTTGACTCTTGGGTGGTTTAACCAACAAGATTCAGGTACATCAGAATGTAATACTCGTATAGGATGGATTGTTTGGATATAATTTGACAACCATTCACTCTCCTCCGAGTTGTGCGAGCCATGTCTTTCATTGACTCAAAAGCTGCGTTCGAGCAACGTTGCAATGAGCTGAGCGCACCTGCAGGATTGTATGACCTTTTGATTGCCCAACAGGTTGATACATTTTCGTCTCTTGCATATGCCATTGCTACACCAAATCGTTCGCCGACTGACATGGAGTTTGACACCTTTGCAAATCAAGTGTTTGGATCTCCCACGTTGGGACAGATGAGTTTGCTTAGAAGGATTCATTTCGAATCTTGCACTTTCATTTTGCAACACTTGAAGTCTCAGGTGGCAGGCGACACTCAGGATGGTATTCGAAATTTACCTTTTGCAGAGAAACAGGCGAGGTTTGAAGCAGCTCGTACAAAACTCAGTGGCTTCATCATTCAAGGAGAGACTGAACCTTCATTTGCACTGATTGACAAGTGTCAAGCTATGTATGATTCTGGAGCTGTGACGTGGATACCTCCTTCTGCATGTACCAAACGTGATCTGGAGATTCAAGCTGCTCCAAAGGATTCTGCACAGGTTGTGAGGATTGAGGCGCAGACCTTGAAGGTTGACACAGAGTCTCAGAAGATTGGGGATGCTGACCATGGTTCTGAAATTAAGTTACAGTGGTGCTTGCAGCGCAAAGGGATTGCATTGGAAATGTGCAATTTGATTTCGTGGAATTTGTCGCAGGAATGGATTGCCAACTTGTTCAATGTATATTCCACAGATCCTCCTCCAGGTTTCGGCAGAATCAGTTTGCAGCAACTGATTAGAGCAGACAAGGAGTTGTGGACTTTGATGGCAAGAACTGCTACAACCATCAAACCGGACGGGGCTGGCAAACGACCCTTGGATGAGGTAATGTCACGTGTCACAATGCATTTGTTGGCACTACCTCACAGGGCTGCATCATCCACTCAGAACCATTCCGAACCGAGCGACAACAAGAGACACTCGCAATCTTCTAACAGCAATGCGGCAAAGCAGGCTCCAAAGAAGAAGATGAGACCAGGACGCAACCAACGAACTAAACCGACGCCTCCTGCTGAGTTGAAGGATTGTTATCAGACCACCAGTGATGGCAAACCAATTTGTTGGGCATACAACTTGGCTCAGGGATGCTCGTTGGGCACTTCAGGAAATCCACCGTCGTGTTCGAAAGGTTGCCATGTGTGTGCATTCTGCCGCAAGATTGGGCATTCATTTCAAGTACATGCGCCAACAGATCATGACGAAGTTTGGCGAGCTACACATAGCACTACTAGCTCTTTCGAAGATAAGCTGGTTATCGAAATTTTTGCCGGGACAGGTAACTTGTCAGCGGCAATCAGACGAATTGGAATGCGAAGCGTTGCAATTGACAAGTCAGGGGCTCGAACCAAGGGCCCACTTACAGTGCTGGATTTGACAGATGAAAGCAATGTCAAACTGCTCAAGGAGTATATCTACCAAGAGCGGTACAACATTGAATTGGTCCACGTTGCGCCGCCATGCGGTACATGTTCAGCGGCCAGGAAGATTGTTCGACAAGATTTATTAGACCAAGGTTTCGAGCTGCCGAGACCGCTGCGGGATGAAGAACACCCCATGGGATTGCCGGATTTGGCTGGGCTAGACCTCCACAAAGTTCGACTTGCCAATCAGTTGTACGAGGCCACGTATGACTTGATCAAGTTTTGCTTGTCCCTGGGTATACGCACAAGCCTGGAAAATCCCACCAACAGTTTGTTCTGGAAAACTTCACCAATTGTGAAACTATTGGAGGAACACTATGGACACCACAACGTTTTCCACAACTGCATGATGGGTGGCAAACGAGACAAATCAACAACTTGGTGGCGCAATGATGATTTCTTCTCCTCGTTCAACATACTTTGTACACGTGACCATCAACATGCAAAATGGCAGCCCACTATTCTGCGGGGTTCAAAGCTGCATTTTCCAACTTCCGAAGAAGCGGAATATCCATGCGAACGGGTGGCCATGTTAATCAAGCAATCTCTGGCTGATCGTAACATCTATCCGGTGGAGACCATGGAAGAGCAACTCGCACATAGGAGAACCACTGCTATCAACACAGTTGCAATGGGCATACTCCCTCGTGGACAGAAACTCAAACCTTTGGTGAGCGAGTTTGGTGTTTACAACAAAGTGTGTGTGCCGTTGCCTTTCGAAACAGAGCTTGTCTTGTCAAAATTTCCAAAAGGTGCACGTGTTGTGGATCGGAAACTGTGTTTGTGGGGTGCATTGCGGGTTTCCTTGCCTGAGGTGGATTCAGCTACATATTTTTCACAGTTGCCCAGGGATGACAACATAAATGTTGAAGTGTTGACGATTGGAATTCCGAGGACACCTGAAGACTTTCTTGAACATGCGCTGAAAGTTCGTCACCCGAGGTTTCTTCCTTACCCAGCAACTGGTGCTGCGCATGACTTGTTGGACAAGAATATTTATTGTCCTGCTGGTAAGTTGGTGACATTGCGGAACGAATTCTTCAAAGTTTGGGTGACTAAAGCTGGCCAGTTGGCAGACGATGAGAAGAGGTTGCATGATTCGATGGAACCTCACGTGAGAAAAGTGTTACATGGTAAACGTCTCCTGGTCCTGCGTGACATCCTCCAAGAGCTACAATTTCCTGACGAGAAGTTGTTTGAAGACTTGATTGTGGGCTTCAGACTCACTGGATGGATGAGAGATTCTGGATGCTTTTTGTCCATACCAAGGCCTCCTACCTTAACATTGGATGGTGTGAAACGCCTCAACAAAGGTCTGCTGAGTGCTACTTTGAAGCGTGTCGAGCAACAAGCAGTGGACAAACTTTCTATGGCGGCTTGGGATGAAACCCTCAAAGAGCTTGACAGAAGTTGGATTTGGGAAGACTCGTCCACTACTCTTGTTGGCAAGGTGATCGCACATCGCTTTGGTCTGGAACAGAAGGACAAGGTGAGAGTGATAGATAATTTTAAACAATGCGGGTTGAACGACACTTGTGGACTGCCTGAGAAATATGTTCTGCATGGAGTGGATTATATAGCCGCGACCCTCATCCATGGCATGAAGTTACATGGAGCTGGCTTTCCTTTCGAACTGCTTGGAAAGACGTTTGATTTGTCTTCAGCTTACAAGCAGTATCCATTGCATTCACATGACAGGGATTTGGTGAGGATTGCGTTGAAGGACACGGAGACAGATGCTTGCAGAGTGTTTGGGTTAAATGCGCTACCATTTGGCGCTACAGGTTCGGTGGCTGGGTTCTTGCGGATCTCTAGTGCAATTTTCTTCGTGTTGACTCAAGGCCTGCACATTTGGTCAAGTGCTTTCTTCGATGACTTCCCAACGTTGTCAGTTGCAGATGCAAGTGCCATGACAGACAAACACGTTGCCATGTTGTTTGATTTGTTGGGTGTAGATTTTGCTCGAGAAGGGAAGAAGTGCGCCCAGTTTGGATCTCAGATGAAAGCATTGGGATTGGTCTTCGACTTAGAGCAATTTTCAAGTGGCAAAGTTTACATCAGACATACTGCTGAAAGGAAGACAGAGTTACTTGACCGGCTCAATGACATCCTGGAAAGAAACGAGTTGTCGCCTAAAGATGCTGAATCGTTGAGAGGACGTCTTCACTGGTACGAAAGTTACTTGTTTGGTCGAACTGCAAACTTAGCCATTCATCAACTTGGGAAACGCATATCCGCTCCGTCATGGACTACTTCACTTGGTAGCGAACTGGAGTCAGTGCTGAGGCTTCTCCGTGATAGGGTGGTGAGTGGTCCTCCACTAATCCTGCGTGCTGACATGGATACTCCACTTCTCATATTTACAGATGGCGCATGCGAAGGTGACGAACTCAAGACAGGAAGTGTCGGTGGGGTGCTGTATTGTGGTAGTAACGCTCCTCTTCGCTACTTCAGCGGGAAAGTTCCAGCCCTGCTCATGCAGGATTTCTTGCAAGAGTCGAAGAACCCCATTTACTTGATTGAAATGTTGGCATGTTACATTGCTTTCAAACTTTGGGGTTCTAGCAACTTGGGCTGCTATGTGGTATTGTATCTCGACAACGAGGCTTCTCGGGGTGCATTCATCAAGGGCTACTCCACTACACGACGTGGCAACATCATTGTACAGTTGGTAGTTTCATGTGAAGATTCGTCTCAGTGGAAAGCGTGGTAGGGACGCGTGCCAACTGCTTCCAACATGTCCGATGCTCCTAGCAGACATGACACCGCTAAATTAGACCAAGCAGGAGTGCCGAGAGACGACATCTCTTGGGGCCAGATCATCCTGGCATACCAGCACCAGCAACATGTACTTTGGGGGTGAGGCGAATGTAGCTGGCACTGTGGTAAACCCAAGTGCTTGGCTTCTTCTACTTTTAATTTCCTCGTGGTGAAGCCAGAGGATTTAGACGCCTTGACGATCCCCATTTAGCACAACAAAAACTTTGTGCGCAGCTGCTGAGTGTTTGGTGTTGTGTCAGCCGTTGATGTTCTCATCTTTCAACTTTGTCGTTTCCCGTCCGCTCGAGTTTGGTCTCGTATTATTTTAAAAACGAAGCGGCCCACGTTTTTGTTTAACCAAGGTTGGCACACAACCTATGTGTTAAGAAGTGCTGAAACATTGCGAGTGTGTATGCTTTGGAGTTTATGCACAGGCGGTTTTAAGAGCTGGGGATAAAACCTACATCTTGGGCACAACAGTTGAAGGAGAAACCCCAAGACTGATTGTGCAGACCACCCAGCACAGGCACCCCAAGTACAAGGAGATTATGGCTCGTTGGTTTCTGTTGTTTGGGAAGCAGCACAGGGTGCAGGTGTAACTAATTCTTTCTGGGGCAAGCCATAGGATGAGCCTCCCTTGTTAAAAGGGGTCTGTTTCTTTTACAACAGTTTTCATTTACTTGATAGACCCAAGGTTAACCAAAGGAATGTGTGCAACATGTGAAAGGACACATTTGCCCATGTGCACATATTGAATAACCAATGTATGTACCCACAGGTGTTCACTTAAATTAGTTTGCAATAATATTTCCACTGGCAATATCTGGGTTCCAAACTATGTTACATTTTTTTGGTGTTATGTTCTTGGTGTAAAAATGATTTCCTGTTGTAAGGGCATGTAATGGTCCACATGTCATGTGTGTGTTTTAGCTCCCACCACTGGTCCTGCATGTTGTTGTGGCCATGCAAAAAACACTGTTTTTGCAGCACTTTTGCTCAAGAAAATTTAGAAAGAGCCTGCACCTTGGTAAAAGGTTCCAATTTTCCCACTCCCCTTGATAAAAGGGGCAAGCCTCCCCCTTGGTGAAGGGGGCAATGCCAAGCTACAACAACAAAAACAGGCCCAGTGGCTCTGGGACTTGCAGGGGAACAAAGCCCCACTGGCCCCCTTGGTGAAAGGGGAAAGAGACCCCAACTGGGGCAAGCCAGGCTTCAAGACTTGCGGTATTTCATTTTCATTTTCTACTTCTCACTGAATGTCTCACCTCTTCGTTTGTCTTTTTGCTCTTGAAGGTGTTGAAGGTCTCCAAAAAGACTTTCATCCCCTTGTGCTTCTGTAAGTATTGCTTTCGTTTGAAGTCTTGAAATTTTAGATACTGTAAAGCTTTTACGCCCTGAACTTTGATGTTGCTGATTGAACGCTGACTGTTCGTCGGTGATTGTTGCCTTGTATCTTTTTGTATTCCTATCAGTGCTTTGTTCTTGTCTAAATCAACCCATTTTTTGCCTCTCTTCTCTTTCAGTTCAATGGTCTGTCTGATTTTGTTGAACTGTGTTTTAAGTCTTTGGGTTAATGGTTTGTTTCTTTGAAAGTTGTAGGTCTTCTCACCTATCTTCAGTTTCTTGTTGTTTATCTCACCCTGTTCGGACGACAAAAGGTAGTCTAAAACCGTCTTGTCTGTATCGTCCATCATAGTAATATAATCTATATCATTATTAGTTTGTGTTTCTTTAAGCGCATCTTCTGAAACTGTTTTTTTGTTGTGGGTGTGGGGGCTGAAGTGGTGGTTCATTGGTTGGATTTTGAAATTAAATTTCATCTCTCAACCTTACACCCTCTCCCACATTTTCTATACTATATAAAGTAATATTTCTTTAAGTAGTTTTTGCTTTTTGGTTGCCTGTTGGAATTTTTGGGTTTGGGGTTGGGGTTCAACGTGAAAACATTTTCATTAGCAGTCAATGTTAATGATAAAGTTTTAAATCACTATGACCATCATAGATTTTCTGTAATTCAATGTTAATTCTAAAATCTTCAATTTTCATTTTTCTGATGTCTGTATCTTGTTTCTGCCACCGTTTGTGTTTGTCTATTTCCCTATTGAATTGTTCAAAACATCCTTCTCAATTAAATGGAACGAAACGGTCATTTACATTTCTACAATGACCACCGCCTCTATAAACATCATATTGGGCAAATGAACCAGCGGTCTTTTTAGAATTACAGTAATAAAAAGTAATGTCAAGAACAACCCTAAAAGAACTTTCGCCATCGGGTTTTTTGTAAATGAAATTTCAATGAAATTCGCTATTGTGTTCTCTTGCTTTTGAATAATTTGTGGGTTTAGTCTTGAACCAAAGATGTTATAAGTCATCTCTACCATATCGGTGTCTAAACCAAAATCATACGTTTTAAATATTCAAGCTTAAACCGTTTTTTGTTGTTGTGAAGTCTCATCTGTTCGGGTGTTCCTAACATAAATGATGCGATGTTTGCCAAAATATTTTCAGGTAAAATTTTCAACATGTGACCTTCTGCCATTTCTTCTTTAATATAAGGTAACATTTCTTTAAATAGTTTTTGGGTTTTGGTTGGCTGTTGGAATTTGGGTTTCAGGTTTGAGTTCAACGCTTCATCAATGACATCTGCTGTTCATACATCTTTTGGTTTGGCGGTGTGTGGATAGATTGGATTTACTGCTAATGATTTGTCCGCAGTCTGGGCATTGGAATGGTTTTGACAGTTTCTGTTGACAATATTTCGCAAAATAATTTGGGTCTAGGGGTTTCTTGTTGTATGTTCCATCGGGGTTTCTGCGTGAGGGTATTGTTGGGGTTGGTGGCTTGCGGGTGTTGTTGGAATGGTGTAGTGCTTCCACCATTTCATCAAACAGGTCTTCGTCCATTTCTTGCTTCATACCATTGATACACATATAGCAGGGCATTTTCAATTCTTAAACATACAAGGCGTTATTTTTTTAAGTGTTTTTGGCGTCTTGTGTTGAAAGTCTGTGGATTGATGTTGAAAGGTTGGGAGTGAAACGACTTGTCTTAATTTTTTGCTGTGTCTTCCAAAGTTGAAGGTGAAACGATTTGTCCATAACTTCTGTCAGTAACGTTTGCAAGATTTTATCGTACTAAAGTCAGTTTGGATGCCAGAATGTCAGAACGATATACCAGAAACCCCCACCCACCCAATCCAAGCCACTTTATATATTATATATACATGTATATACTCCGGAGGTCGTGTTGAGGAAACCTTCTGACAAACAGGGTTGAACAATAATGTCATGTTATGTCACGTTATGTCATGTAATGCATGTCATCAGAGAAGGGCCAATTTTGAAGACTGCTTGGCAAGGTTCAATCCTTGCCTGAAGTGACCACTGAAACGAACCTCAAGGTAGAAAAAGTGTATGATGTCTTCTTGACCTCAGCGTTGCAAGGATGACATTCCAATCAATGCTGTCAGGGCAAAACGGGTTGAAGGGTGGTATGGAACGTCCTCATCCATCACATGTTCAACCATCCTCTCACATCCACTTCAGAGCAACAAGGCAGTCGGCTGCCTGCTTTTTTCCATTCATGGCAAACGACGGTCTCTAATGGTTATCCACGCTTCCGTGCCTGTACATGACGCCAAACCTCTGCGCCCAGCAAAATTTGACCATTTGAAAGGTTATAGCTGAGTGTCGGGCATTGAATAGCCAGGCGGTTGTCTAACTGGTGGCTACAACCCTTGGCAAGTGAGCCAGAAGGCTAATTTCCTAAGCCATTGGCAGGTTGTGCGTTTGGACCTGCGCCATTGTTGGCATTTTGCACGGACTGCTTTACAGCATCCACCGCGTGGGACTCCACTGCACGTTGCCGCGCTCGTCTGCATACTTCAAAGTTAGGAAGTATTGTACAGCAAGGGGCAAGATTTTATATGCGAAGGATGTCTGCCTCTCAACTTCACGAATTATGGAAAATGACTTCTGCAACCTTTTTGCAACGACCATCGAATGTGGCAGTGGTAGCCGACACATTCATCAAACCCTCAAGCCCTTTCATCTGGAAAGACCGAAGAACTGAGCAGGCTGAAGGTCTTCAGTCTTGGCAAACTGGATGAGCGCAGTAGGTCTTGCAACCAACTCAGTGAATGCTGGGCTTGCGTTTGGCTGAGCGTTCAGTCTCAAAATGAGGTTTCCAATCTCCTCATCCCGAGCCAAATCTTCACGAGACTTTGAAGAAGCACCGCCATGGCCTCTCTTCCCACCGCCTCCACTTGTAGTCCTACTCTGCAATGTCATCTCAATGTCATTCACAATCTCACTGAGACGCTGATATTCCTCCAACTCAATATCATCAATGAAAAGGCGTTGATGGAAGCGATGGATGTTGGTTCTGGGTTGTAGCAAAGCCTTCAACACTCCGATGCTATCCATGAAAACTAAAACCCTTTGGTTCGGAAAAATTGCGTGGACTGTCATCCCGCCCTCTTCACTCTCTGGAATGTCATCTCGGCCCTTGGCCTGTCTCTCCCATGTTGCAAAACTCCTCAAACTTGGACTGACGATGAGCGCAGATGTTGCCCCTATCCTCAGGGATGGTAGTAGCAATTCTGGTCTTGTTGGCACTGGATGGAACTCTCACCTCACTGTCATTCATCGCTTTCATGAGTTGGACCGTTGACAGTTCCATCAAATTCGTCAATGTTGGGTCTCCATGTGTGATTTTCTTCCCATACTCATCACCAGTCCGAAAGAAGAATGCATCAAGCCTACTTCCGAAGTCTCCAACCACACAAGACTGTTCTGAAATATGCAAGGCTGAAAATGAAACAAACCTGAGGCATGAGACTGGTCATCATCAACGCTCAGGTAGGCGAGGTTTCTTCAAAACGTTTGAAATGCCTGATTGTTTGGCGTTCCCTGCGCAGTTGCCCTCGGCCACTGTTCCAGCAAGAGACGAACTTCCAAAAACGGCCGGCAGTTTGGTGCAATGAACACATGTTTGAAGTATCACTTTTTACCGTCAGCTTTGCTTACGGTGGGCTGACATCATGACCAAAAATCAGTTTTCCTCACCAGAAGTGTCAACATCATCATCGGCGATTGGAGTCTCATCAGAAGCATCACCATCTGGAAAGACAGGGAAGGCGAACGTTTCTGGGTCATAGTCATCACGACCTTGTTCATCTCGTCAGGCTTGGTGATGGACGAAGTGTTGTAGATGAAAAGTCTGTCTCCGAGCACCTTGCCATTGACGTCAATGATGAGGATGTCTCGCTTCAACATTCCGTTCTTCTTGCCAACCAACGGGAACGAACCTGACAACTTGATGATGCGACTGCGTGCCTTTCCAACGGTCTTGTTCTTGTTGATGACAGACTGCACCACTGTTCCAGCAGGCATGGTCATGGCGCTGATGGTCGTAGAACCTTCACGCTTCAATTCCAAAGCCCTGGCATTGGCTTCACTCTTCGCCCGTGCTTTGGCTTTGGCAGCAATGGCAGGGTTGTCATACTCAATCTGACTGCGACGGTCCTTCGGAAGGTTCATCTTCATCTGGATGGTTGCCAACTCTGCGTCATACTGCGTCTGCAAGTTAGAAAGGTCTTCCACGCTCATGTTCTCCAACCTCTCAATGAGTTCCACCATCTCATTGGTCATCTGGTCGGTTGCATAGCCGGCGCCAAGCACTGCACGCTTCGGAGCCATGACGATGAGTCAGCTATGGATAGGAACGACTGGATTTCAAAAGGCGCTGGGTTGCAAAGGCCAACGCTCTTCAAAAGATGTGGCATTCAAATCAAGTTCGCTCGACAAACACGTTGGTTGGAATCATGACCGCATGTCAAGGTCTGAAGACTGTTTGGCAACGACCCTTCCTTCCCTGCTCTGAGTGTCCCCGACAATCTAAACATGAAGGCGATGAGGTTGCAGCAATCGGGGCAACGGTGTGGATGGAGGAAAAGAAAAAAGAAACAATCAAAAAATCAATGAGATGGAGATGAACACGTTTGATGTAAAATGTCCTAAAACATACCTCAGAAAAAACATCAAAACCTACAAACACACGTTGAACAATAACATAAAACCAGATAAGCCAACATACAGACAAAACTGTCTTACAACCATGCCTTTACCATTTTTTCTGGGCGCATGAAGGTGGCGAGCCGGAAACCAAGAGGCTTGCGACGGGTTCAATCCATGCCGCCCATTCATATGCGTGCATTGAGCAAAACTGCATTGGAATGTAAAAGAGTTTTCTCTCATCCGCAACCCTCTAGTTTGTATCTTTGTTCCCAGTTCCCATTCTTGTCCCACTTTGGGGTTCTTGTTCCCACTTTTTTCCCACTTTGTTCTCATTCTTGTCCCACTTAGGGGTTCTTGTTCCCACTTTGTTCCCATTCTTGTCCCACTTTGTGGTTCTTGTTCCCAGTTTGTTCCCACTTTGTTCCCATTCTTGTCCCGCTTTGAGGTTCTTGTTCCCACTTTGTTCCCCACTTTGTTTTCACTTTGTTCTCATTCTTTTCCCATTTTGGGTTCTTGTTTCCATTCTGTTCTGTTCCCACTTTGTTCCCATTCTTGTCCCACTTTGGGGTTCTTGTTTCACTTTGGTCCCACTTTGTTCCCATTCTTGTCCCACTTTGGGGTTCTTGCTCCCACTGTGTTCCCATTCTTGTTCCCACTTGGTTCCCATTCTTGTCCCACTTTGGGGTTCTTGTTCCCAGTTTGTTCCCACTTTGTTCCCATTCTTGTCCCACTTTGGGGTTCTTGTTCCCACTTTGTTCCCCACTTTGTTCCCATTCTTGTTCCACTTTGGGGTTCTTGTTCCCACTTTGTTCCCATTCTTGTCCTACTGTGGGGCCTTGTTCCCACTTTGTTCCCACTTTGTTCCCACTTTGTTCCCACTTTGTTCCCACGCTTGTCCCACTTTCGGGTTCTTGTTCCTACTTTAATCCCACTTTGTTCCCATTCTTGTCCCACTTTGGGGTTCTTGTTCCCATTCTTCCCTCACTTTCAGGTTCTTGTTCCCACTTTGTTCCCATTCTTGTCCCACTTTGTTCCCATTCTTGTCCCACTTTGGGGTTCTTGTTTCACCTTGTTCCCACTTTGTTCCCATTCTTGTCCCACTTCCGGGTTCTTGCTCCCACTGTGTTCCCATTCTTGTGCCCAATTTGTTCCCATTCTTGTCCCACTTTGGGGTTCTTGTTCCCACTTTGTTCCCATTCTTGTCCCACTTTGGGGTTCTGTTCCCAATTTTGCACACTTTGTTCCTACTTTGTTCCCATTCTTGTCCCACTTTGGGTTCCCACTTTTTTCCCACTCTCGTCCCACTTCGGGGTTCTTGTTCCCAGTTCTTGTTCCACTTTGGGGTTCTTGCTCCCACTTTGTTCCCACTTTGTTCACACTTTGTTCCCGCTTTGTTCCCATTCTTGTCCCACTTCGGGGTTCTTGTTCCCACTTCGTTCCACTTTGTTCCCATTCTTGTCCCACTTTCCCATTCTTGTCCCACTTTGGGGTTCTTGTTCCCACTTGGTTCCCACTTTGTTCCCACTTTGTTGCCATTCTTGTCCCACTTTGGGGTTCTTGTTCCTACTTTAATCCCACTTTGTTCCCATTCTTGTCCCACTTTGTTCCCATTCTTGCCCCACTTTGGGGCCCCACTTTTTTCCCACTTTGTTCCCATTCTTGTCCCACTTTGGTGTTCTTGTTCCTACTTTGCTCCCACTTTGTTTCCATTCTTGTCCCACTTTGGAGTTCTTGTTCCCGCTTTGATTCCATTCTTTTTTCCACTTTGGTGTTCTTGTTCCCACTTTGTTCCTACTTTGTTCCCATTCTCGTCCCACTTTGGGGTTCTTGTTCTGCTTTGTTCCCACTTTGTTCCCATTCTTGTCACACTTTGGGCCACTTTGTTTCCATTCTTGGCCCGCTTTGGTGTTCTTGTTCCCCATTCTTGTCCGACTTTGGGGTTCTTGTTTTCACTTTGTTCCCATGCCTGTCCTACTGTGAGGTTCTTGTTCCCATTCTTGTCTCGCTTTGGGGTTCTTGTTCCTCCTTTGTTCCCGCTTTGTTCCCATTCCTGTCCCCCTTTCACGGTCTTGCTCCCACTTTGTCTCGGCTTTGTTCCCATTCTTGTCCCACTTTGGGGTTCTTTTTCCACTTTGTTCCCATTCTTGTTCCACTTTGCGGTTCTTGTTCCCACTTTGTTCCCATTCTTGTCCCACTTTTGGGTTCTTGTTCCCACTTTGTCCCCACATTGTTCCCATTCTTGTCCCACTGTGGGGTTCTTGCTCCCACTTTGTTCCCATTCTTGTTCCAACTTTGCTCCCACTTTGTTCCCACTTTGTTCCCACTTTGTTCCCATTCTTGTCTCACTTTGTCCCCACATTGTTCCCATTCTTGTCCCACTTTGGGGTTCTTGTTCCCACTTTGTTCTCATTCTTGTCCCACTGTTCCCATTCTTGTCCCACTTTGGGGTTCTTGCTCCCACTTTGTTCCCACTTTGTTCCCATTCTTGTCCCACCTTGCGGTTCTTGTTCCCATTTTGTCTCAACTTTGTTCCCATTCTTGCGCTACTTTCAGGTTCTTGTTTCCACTTTGTTCCCACTTTTTTCCCATTCTTGTCGCACTTTGGGGTTCTTGTTCCCACTTTGTTCACACTTTGTTCCCATTCTTGTCCCACTCTGGGTTCCCACTTTTTTCCCATTCTTGTCCCACTTCGGGGTTCTTGTTCCCACTTTGTTTCCGTTCTTGTTCCACTTTGGGGTTCTTGCTCCCACTTTGTTCCCACTTTGTTCACACTTTGTTCCCGCTCTGTTCCCATTCTTGTCCCACTTTTGGGGTTCTTGTTCCCACTTTGTTCCCACTTTGATCCCATTCTTGTCCCACTTTGGGGTTCTTGTTCCCACTTGTTCCCACATTGCTCCCACTTTGTTCCCATTCTTGTCCCACTTTGGAGTTCTTGTTCCCGCTTCGATCCCATTCTTTTTTCCAGTTTGGGGTTCTTGTTCCCGCTTTGTTCCTACTTTGTTCCCATTCTTGTCCCACTTTGGGGTTCTTGTTCCCACTTTGTTCCCATTCTTGTCCCACTTTGGGGTTTTGTATCCACTTTGTTCCCATTCTTGCGCCACTTTCAGGTTCTTGTTTCCACTTTGTTCCCACTGAGTTCCCAATCGTGTCCCACTTTGGGGTGCTTGTTCCCAATCGTGTCCCACTTTGGGGTGCTTGTTCCCACTTTGTTCCCATTCTTGCCCTGCTTTGGGGTTCTTGTTCCCACTTGTTCCCACTTGTTCCCACTTTGCTCCCACTTTGTTTCCATTCCTGTCCCACTTTGGAGTTCTTGTCCCACTTTGTTCTCATTTTTGCTCACTTTGGGGTCCCACTTTTTTCCCACTTTGTTCCCATTCTTGTCCCACTTTGGGCACTTTGTTCTGTCCCACTTCGGGGTTCTTGTTCCCACTTTGTTCCCATTCTTGCGCCACTTTCAGGTTCTTGTTTCCACTTTGTTCCCACTGAGTTCCCATTCTTGTCCCACTTTGAGGTGCTTGTTCCCAGGGTTCTTATTCCCACTTTGTTCCCATTCTTGTCCGACTTTGGGGTTCTTGTTCCCACTTTGTTTCTGTTTTTGTTCCACTTTCGGGTTCTTGTTCTCATTCTTGTCCCATTTTGGGGTTCTTGTTCCCAGTTTGTTCCCATGCTTGTCCCACTTTGGGGTTCTTGTTCCCACTTTGTTCCCATTCTTGTCCCACTTCGGGGTTCTTGTTCCCACTTTGTTTCCGTTCTTGTTCCACTTTGGGGTTCTTGCTCCCACTTTGTTCCCACTTTGTTCACACTTGTTCCCGCTTTGTTCCCATTCTTGTCCCACTTCGGGGTTCTTGTGCCCACTTTGTTCCCGCATTCTTGTCCCACTTTGGGGTTCTTGTTCTCACTTGTTCCCACATTGCTCCCACTTTGTTCCCATTCTTGTCCCACTTTGGAGTTCTTGTTCCCGCTTTGATCCCTTTCTTTTTTCCAGTTTGGGGTTCTTGTTCCCGCTTTGTTCCTACTTTGTTCCCATTCTTGTCCCACTTTCGGGTTCTTGTTCTCACTTGTTCCCACTTTGTTCCCACTTTGTTCCCATTCTTGTCCCACTTTGGAGTTCTTGTTCCCGCTTTGATCCCATTCTTTTTTCCAGTTTGGGGTTCTTGTTCCCGCTTTGTTCCTACTTTGTTCCCATTCTTGTCCCACATTGGGGTTCTTGTTGCCACTTTGTTCCCATTCTTGTCCCACTTTGGGGTTCTTGTTTGCAGTTTGTTCCCATTCTTGTCCCACTTTGGGGTTTTGTTCCCACTTTGTTCCCATTCTTGCGCCACTTGCAGGTTCTTGTTTCCATTTTGTTCCCACTGAGTTCCCATTCTTGTCCCACTTTGGCGTGCTTGTTCCCACTTTGTTCCCATTCTTGTCCTCATTGGGGTTCTTGTTCCCACTTTGTTTCCGTTCTTGTCCCACTTCGGGGTTCTTGTTCCCACTTTGTTCCCATTCTTGCCCCACTTTGGGGGCCCACTTTTTCCCACTTTGTTCCCACTTTGTCCCACTTTGGGGTTCTTGTTCCTACTTGTTCCCACTTTGCTCCCACTTTGTTCCCATTCTTGTCCCACTTTGGGGTTTTGTTCCCACTTTGTTCCCATTCTTGCGCCACTTTCAGGTTCTTGTTTCCATTTTGTTCCCACTGA